TAGAAATAAATTTAATACTAAAAATAATAAAAATAATTTTAAGTGATAGGGAAATGCAAAAATAATTGTTATTTAATCAAACAAATTATTTTACTAATTTTAGTAACTATAAATAAATTATTAACTCTATATACACATAGTTAGATTATTATATAGAATTAATTGATTAAATATTATACATACTTCCTATAATTTATACTAATTTCATATAAAAATGAATTTAATAATAATAAAAATGGTCGTACTTAATTGAAAAAAAAAGGAAAAATAATTGAATTTAATAAAAAAAAATAAAAAAATAAAATTTAGATATATATCTATTAAATAATTAAATTAAAACACTAAGAATATTAATGTACAATAAAGCACTCACAATTTTAGCAGCATTGCATTTATTCGATTGATTTATCGAATAAACGATGAATAATCCAAAAAGGATTACTTTTTTCCACATGTTGAATATTATGTTATTCCCTATTTCAAATAAATATTATTCCCACATATATCAAACCCCCATACACTTCACTAATGTATACATATACACATATATATATATATATATTCCAAATAAAAAAAAAAAAGTTCAATCAACAAGCACAATAATAATCCAAATGAAATTTGTATTTACTTGTATTTTTAATTCTTTTATTTGTATCGATTTTAGAATCTGTTCGAGTTGACCTTGGGGAAAATGATAAGAACTTTCATAAAGAGTAGGTTTATCTCTTTGGCTAGGAACCTTATGGAACCATAGCCATCGTTGAACTGTCGTATCGAGAGTCATCTTCCTCGTATGGTTCACTTGATTGGATAGTTTGCTGGTTATGATAGTCGATCGGTGGTCACTTGGAGGGTAAAACGAATGTTATGGTAGAATAAGAAAAATATCTGGAGGACGAAACTATAAACACGTATGAGTGTACATGTATATATATATATACATAAATTACATTACATGAACGTATGTGTACTTGTGTATATGTGCATATATATAAGCTGCACCCATTTTGTAATAAGTGTAAGAGTAAGAGAGTGAGAAAGATAGATCAGAAATATAGATATAAAATGAGAATAAGTTAGTATGAATGTGTATGAATGAGTATGAGTGAGTGTGAATGAGTACCACATTAGAAACTGTATGTGTATATATATATAAGTTATACCTATTTTGTCATAAGTGTAAGAAAGAGTGAGAAAGATAGATCATTATAGTTGTATGGGTACAGAAATATAGATATAAAATGACAATGAGTTAGTATGAATTTGTATGAATGAGTGTAAGTGAGTACCAGATTGAAAATGGTGTGTGTTTACATATGTATATAAGTTATACTTATTTTGTAATAAATGTAAGAGTAAGAGAGTAAGAAATATAGATGACTATAGTTTTATAGATATAGAAATAGAAATAGAAATAAAATGAAGTGTAGTTAGTAAGAGTAAGTGTGAATGAGTATCACATTGGAAACTGTATGTGTGTATATATATATATATAATAAGTTATACCTATTTTCTAATAAATGTAAGAAAGAGTGAGAAAAATAGATAACTATAGTCATTGAAATATAGAAATATAGATATAAAATGAAAATAAGTTAATAAGAATGAGCATGAGTGAGTATGAGTGAGTGTGAATGAGTACCACATTGGAAACTGTATGTGTATATATATATATATATATATATATATATATATATATATATATATATATATATATATATATATGTTATACCTATTTTGTCATAAGTGTTAGAAAGAGTGAGAAAGATAGATTGGTATAGTCATTCAAATATAGAAATATAGATATAAAATGAGAATGAGTTAGTAAAAATGAATGTGAGTGAGTATGAGTGAGTATTAGTGAGTACCAGATTGGAAACGGTTAGGTCCACTTAGTCAAGAGTCCATAATAGTAGATCGTCCATTATCCAATTCTGTGACATAGTCGGTCACAAAAGGGACTAATCACTTCAGTATCCGTCAACGACGGATGAGAAGAAGCCAACAACGTCAATAGCCAATCCCCCAAGAGCGTCAATGGTAAACGAGAATAGTGTCATTGGAAACGTTGCATCCTTTTGATTCATCTCTACCTAGATTTCAACATTGTTTTCCTCTTAAGAATTCATTTGGATGACGATGATGATTATCATCGTTATCATCGTCACCTGCTTTTCATTTGATTCATTTTCAGTCATTCATTCGATTCTTTTTTTTTCTTTAATGGTTGACAAGATCACTCTGATGAAGTACTTTGGATTATTTTATGAATTCTTTAAGTTCTCTTTTTTTTTTTTTAAATTTAATTTGTAAAGAGAGAGAATTAATGTTAAAATTTAAGTTAAATTTAAAAATAAATTTATTATATAATTATTATTGTAATAATTGATTCAATATACTAATTTTTAAATTATTAATTCTTTCAATTTTTTTTTTTTAATTTAATTTATAAAGCATTGATTAGTTTAGATTTAAAAGAAATTTAATATTTAATAAATAATAATTGATGCAATATATAAATTTAAAAATTGGTAGGTTGGATTAATGGTGTATATTAAATTTTAGGTATCATAAAAATGTTTAAGTTAAATTGTTCATATTTGAAAATGTAATTATTAATTTGTAAAAATGTGTAAAGTGTATTAAGTTTAAAAAATTATTTGTACATACTCGTATATATATATAATTATATACTCTTTACATAATAACCTCTGAAGGTATATATTAAATTAATTATAATTATTTAAATATAACTATACTCAATATGATGTTTAGTGTATAGTAAGTCATAGTTTCAAATTAATTGATTATGTTTTATTATATGCACCTGTTTTGTGCATCTTAAACATAAATCAAATAAATAAATAATTTCTATTTATATAATTAAATTATTATCTTAATAACCATGCTCAGCATATTCAGTTTGATGTTATTGAATGTATAGTAAATCATAGTTTCAAGGTTTGAATAAATTATAACTATGTTTTATTATAATATACACCTCTTTCGTTCATCTCAAACATAAACGGAATAAATAAATTAATTATATTTATATAATTATATTTTAATAACCATAACGATAATATCCTAATAACCATACTCAGCATATTCAGTATGATGCTATTGAATGTGCAGTAAATCATAGTTTCGAATACTTTCGGTAAGGTTTGAAGAAATTAACAATGTTTCAATATAATATACACCTATTTTGCTCATCTCAAACATAAACGGAATTAATAAATTAATTATAATTATATAATTATATCCTAATAACCATAACAATAATATCTTAATAGCTATACTCAGCATATTCAGTATGATGCTATTGAATGTGTAGTTAATCATAGTTTCGAATAATTTCGTTAAAGTATAAATAAATTAACAATGTTTTATTATAATATACACCTCTTTTGTTCATCTGAAACATAAACTAAATAAATAAACTCTAATTATATTTATATAATATAAATTATTATCTCAATAACCATACTCACAGAATATTCACTATGATATTATTTAATGTATAGTAAATTATACTTTTGAATAATTTTCATAAACTATGAATAAATGAACTATGTTTTAATATAATATGCACCTGTTTTTTTGTTAATCACGAATATAAACCAAATTAGATATAATAATTATGTTGAGATATTATCTTTCAAGTATTAATTGTTCATGAGAGAGGACGTAATTGAGTTAGCAAAGTGTACCCTACGTGCGACATCAACGTACTGTATAATATTGAACTTGAACTGTATAGCGATTAGTGCAATTAAAAGGTAACGACGTGCAATGACTGGTACATCCGTTGACACGCCTCCTTGTTCGACTAGCGGATACAAACGACCTTGCATAATCTTTGCAAAACGTTCTTTATTTCTTCTTTTTTTCTTTTTTCTTTTTATTCCTCTCTCTTTTCTTTTTCTTTTATTTTTTTATTTTTTTTTTTATGATATAGGAAAGATTACATGTGATAATTGTCATTACGTTTTAGATTTTGATTAATTTGTCATTTTATTGTACTGGTATAAGTATCGTTAATTTGTTTGAAAATTGATTGTCTTGTTGATATTTATTCGTATAATAATGTTAATATTTATTATGAATTATTTATAAATAATTTAGATTTTAATTCTGTAATTAATAGAATATATTAATTTTAATATTAATATTTGTATTATGTATTTATTAAAATGTTCATTTATTTAAAATCATTTGTTTATTAAAATAACGTTTAATATAATAATAATAATAATGAAATAAGTAGAAATAAAAATGTAATGTAGGATTAAATATTAAATAAATGATTGTATTTTTAGGGCTAGTATTTATAATAAAAAATATTAATAATTAATTGTAATTTTAATTCTATCATTAATAAAATATTCTACAATAATTAATTATTATTATTTGTATATTTAATAAAATTAAAATAACATATAATAAATAAATAAAATAAACGATTGTATTTTAGGGATAGTGTTTATAATAAAAAATATTAATAATTAATTGTAATTTTAATTCTATCATTAATAAAATATTCTATAATAATTATTAATTAATATTTATATATATTTAACAAAACATTTATATAATAATGACCATTTATTTATTATTAAGCAACTTTTACCAAAATATTAATGAAATAAATAGAAACAAAAATTAAATATACGATGAAATGAATTAACAAACGATCAACACGTTAATAAATAAAATAAAATAATTGATAATAACGATTCGTACAATGTAATCGAATTAACGTTAATAATGTAATAACGTAATGAGAGAGAGAAAAAAAAATGATTCAAGGCCAAATTTAAATAAAATATTTTTAGTGTAATAAAATAACCATTAAAACTATTATTATCTTATATAAACCATTTTAACTATACACTTATGTGATCAAAGAATTGAACAGAACCAAACTACGACAAAAAAAAACAACAAAACGATTAACAATAAATAGTTGGATTGGTGGGGGTAAAGAAGGCTTTACTCGTACTCGACAAACAGCATCCGTCGTTGGTTTAGTATCGTGGCACAGGTAAAAACGTGAAATTGCGTTGTAGCACCTGTACTCACGTCAAACGTTAATTCGTATCGTAAATTTTTCGTTCGTGAATGTTTTTTTTTCAAGTGATTATCTTTTGTCGTCAAAACAGTTCAAACCAAAAAAAAAAAACAAATTGAATATTATTATTGATTTTATTTATAACAAATATATGTATATTGTTTAAACAACAACAACAAAATGAGACGTGGATCAGTATCAACTTGGGAAAATTTCGGTAGGAGAAATTGTGAGTAATTTTTTTCACGCACCTCACACCCATTTTATATTTTATTTTTTATTATTTCATACGTTATGGGGATCCAATGGTATATATTTTTTTTAAAATTGGTTTTTATCTGTTTAGGTTTGTTTTATTTTATTATTATTTTTTTTATATTGCATGTTTTTACGATTCAGACAATTTATTTTATTTTTTTTTTTAACTTGTTCGTTGAGTTTTCACGATTATGGTATACGTGTTTTATTTTTTAATAAGACCGGATGTGTTTCATTTATAAATACACAAATTATTCTATCTTCTACATAATTGACAATATAAAAGTCATAACAGATGGATATAAAATGTGATTGTAATGTTAGTTTAAATATGTTATGTGAAAAATTGTAATTTTGTTTTTATTTTTTTTTTTTTATTTTATTAGTTTGTTTCAGTTGTGTTTGACGAATACAATTTATTTTTTTTACAATTATTATTTAGTTGTTGAAGTAAGATTGTTGTAGTAGTGGTTTATTGGTTGGTTGATAGGTAGATAAATTTTATTGTGAATTATGAGTATAATTATTAAAGTATTGTAATTGTTTCTTAATTATACTTTATGTTATATTATTAATTTATTATGTGTTAATGTGTATTGAAATATTTTAAAGGATTAAATTGAAATGTTGAAAATAAATTCTTTAATATTAATTAAAATATTATAATTAATAATCCATTTTTAATTTAAAAAAAAATTCCTGATTATTACATTGAATTAATTTATTTTAGAAATATAAATATCTTACACATTATTAATTTATTATATAATATAAATTATAAATAAATTTAATATATTATTAAAATATAATTAATTTGTTATATATGTTAAATATAACTTGGAGATATTTTTAAAAATTATATTTAAATATTAAAAATGAATTCTTTAATATTAATGAAATAATAAACAATATGTAACATTTCATATTTAACAATATTCTTAATTATTACTTTCAATTAATTTATTATTGATTTATTATTGATTTTATTTATTAATTTATTAATAATAAAATACTATATGTGTCTGTTATACAACTTTTAAATATTAATTTATTTAAAATTTTGTTTCAAATCACTTTTATAATTATGAATACAATAATCTTTCTTTTTTAATTGTTATTACTGTGATTCACTGATTTATTTCTTATTTTTTTTAAAAAAAGGAAACAAACTATAACAAAATGAAAACTAGTCTCTTAAAAAAGAGAGTTCCCTTGAGAAAAAAATAAAAAATAAGAATAAAAAAAAAAGGAAAAGGAAAATTAAAAGAAAAAAAGAATAAAGAAAAGTTTCATTCGAATTGTTTACAAAGTTCATCAGAATCTTGTACAGTTATCCGAGCACACCCTTGGTTTAATAATAACACCATTATTATTCCGAAAGTAGTTCATAGGAAAAGACAAAAAAAAAACAGAAACGAGAAAAAATATAAAAAAAAAGTGAGAAAAAAGCTGAGAAATGTGTATCGGTGTTAACGAGGGTCTTTTGTTTATAATTGTGGGATTGTGCATTATCTAGTTTTTTTGTTGTTTTTTTTTTTTTTTTTACATTCTTTCTCTTACCTTCAACTTTTTTCTGTATTTTTCTTTTTTCTTTTTTTCATCTTCTTCTTCTTCTTTTCTTCAATCTCTTCTATATATATATATTTTTTTTTTTCTTTTCTTTTCTTTTCTTTTGTTCGTTATCCCTTTGAGAATTGTCCCTTGTTATATTCACGCTCGAGGTTTTTTCCATTTTTTTTTTCTTCTTTTTTTTTCTTCTTTTTTCTTTATTTTCTTTTTCTCACGAATCCCTTTGCAATTAAATTAAATCGGGATTTGTAAAAAAAAAGGTTTCATAATTTTTACGATTGTCGAAGTTATTGGGGTTTAATGCGATCATCGGAAATTGATAAGGAAAATCATTATTATTATTAATTATTGTCATATACAAAATTGCTATTGTTTTTTTTTTTTTTAATTGTATTATTGAATGAATTATTTTTTTTTTTTGAACAGTTTGATTTAAGTTAGAATTAAAATGTAATTTTGTAGATTTTTTTTGTTATCATGTTCAATTATTTGATTAAAGTTTTA